CCGCATCAAAATCCGTTGCGTAGTTTTAAAGATCTAAGCATACATACGGACATACAGCGAAAGCGACTTTGTTTTATACTATGTATTGATACTATGTATTGATTAAAAAATATAACGTGAGTAGGTATAACAATAACCAAAACATTACAATTTTTAACATTTCAACTTTCCAATGAGCCACATATGACTTTAGTCAAACATTTTATGTGAACGTTTGCCGATCTAAAGTATATCATAAAAAAAGAATAATTGAACAAATCATTACAACTAAATATTAACCTACAGCAGAATAAAGTTTTGTTTGTAATTAATTTCAGATCACAATGGGGGTGCTTGCAGCAATCACCGTGAATATTATCGGAGGCACCGTAATCTACGGTACGGGAGGACTATTGGCGCCTATAGTGGCACCGTTGTTGGGTTTCAGTAGCACTGGCATCGCTGCAGGCTCCGTGGCTGCAACTGCGCAGGCCTACTATGGAAACGTGGTCGCCGGCTCCATTATATCACAGCTTACGGCCGCAGCTATGCTAGCCCCTACACCGTAAGTATACCGGCTTAAGTTAAGAGAAAGATTATAATCCTTTTACCCTTTCTTTCTAATGTATTGTAATTATGAATATTATAATATTCTTTACCTCCCGTAACCCTTAACCCTCTTTGCGCTGACGATTATTGTGTGTGTGTGTATTTTGTGGTGTGTGAGTCAGAAGATATAGGTTAATGATGAACACAAGTGAAACGCTCGGTTTATAGACATCGAATGAATTTAATTAGAGTACTGTAACTGTGCACACTTAACGCTACGCATACATACATAAAGTGCACGCGTCAGCGCACACACTTATGCACATGCCCCCCAATTGTCTCTGACAAAAGTGAGCTACAACAATAATTACTGTGTTTATTACGGACTTCTCAACGTAAAAACTTGTGTATACAAATGAAATTTATGACGAACCTTTTTCTTTTTGTTTCAGTTGAACTTTCACAACATTCACCATATTTCAGCGAAAATGTGAAATAAAGGTTTGAAGTGCAATGGATTTATTTGTTTTTGTTGTTTACGTATCTACCCTACATACAATAAACATTTAAAAAACAATAGTTTGCTGTGCTTACCTATTCATAAATAATGTTTCTTTGGTTTGTACCTCAGTAGAGATTGTCCTACTAAAAAGTTTCAGTTACGGATTCACGCATGAACTATCTACTTAGTCAACTGTTTTGATACAATGGAGTGAGAATAAAACGAGGTTTTATCATAATAGTTTATTTTGCGTTTACATGGAGATCATAATAGAGTCCTTTGAGGTCGAGAAGCTGTTGATGCGTCCCCGCTTCAGCAACGCGACCCTTATTGACCACGCAGATTAGGTCGGCATCACGGATAGTACTTAACCGATGCGCGATAGTTATACAAGTACGTCCGGCAGTAGCTGCGTCTAACGCTTCTTGTACTACCTATCATTTGGAGTGAAATCTTTTTTAAGGAAGTATCATTCATTAGTCATCACATACTGATGTGAATGTGACCGGCCAAACACAATTTTAGTTTAGCCTAGGCATAACTAATTTGTCCTAATACCACTATAATTAATTTAAAATATAGTTGAGAACATTTTAGGTATTTACTCTGTGTAAAAACACATTGTTTTAACGTTTGGGAGCATTATTTACCTTTTCACTTTCAGTGTCCAAAGCACTAGTAGCTTCGTCAAGCAATAGGATTTGTGGATGTCGAATGAGCGCTCTGGCGATAGCCACCCTCTGTTTTTGTCCACCTGATAACTGCATGCCTTTTGCACCAATATTCGTATCGTAACCCTGGTCATTTGAAGCAGAAAATAACAAATTATTCCTTGGGTATATCTACTTTAACATTACATAAGCAACCTATTCACTCGGGCAGTAGCGGTGTTAGGGTAGGGCGCGGTTGGGCGATCGCCCAGGGCGCCGGGTGAAAAGGGCGCCGCAGGTACCCCCTTCTCTCCCAGCCCATTCTTATAGTTCGAAGTCTACTTAGTCTTAAAGTCAACACCAAAATGGTACGCATTATTCAATTGTTCGTTCGGGATTCGTTTTACCGGGAATCCCCGATCATAGAAAAACACATATCTCATTTAAACATTTTGGTTAAAAAAAGATAGGAATACTTTTAACGAAGCGTAACAAACTCAGCTCGTTCTCATTCATAAAATTGGTTTTTAAAGCCCGGGTGACCCGGGCCTTAAAGACACCCAAATTTTAATGAAGTGTTCTCACTTCATTGAAATCCCGTAATCCTCCTAGCTTATACTCACCTTCAAATGTCACGCGACTTTCCCTTCCGCCATAAAAAAACAGAAGGTACTTACTAAATTTGAAGACAGCCCAAAGATCGTAGGTATAGGTCGCCAGTTTAGATACAATATAAACTTATTATGGAAGACTGATTTCGTTCTATTCGTGCTCAGAATATCGAATGAAAACGTCTTATATTTAACTCTTTTCCACCTAAGGATTGAACTACCAACGAAGTAAGCTTAGATCATTGTACTACTTAGACTAATTACAACATGATCTTACCTGTGGTAGAGATATGATAAAATTATGTATGTTAGCTTGCTTGGCGGCGTCAATAACTTCTTGATGAGTCGGAGAGCGCATGTAGTCCCCATACGCGATATTCTCCTCAATGCTATAGTCAAAGAGCACAGGTTCCTGGGACACCAGCCCGAAACACGCGCGAGCGTCCGACATAGTCAACCCCGACAGTGGAATACCATCCAAACACTTGAAAAGTCACGAAAAATGTTTATGTAAACGTCGAAATTGGACTAATGATCGTCATCAGCGATGATGAAGTGTAATGTTCATGCATCAACTCACAACGGCTCCGGAATCAGGATCGTAGTATCTTTGCAAAAGCTGGATGACGGTACTCTTGCCACATCCACTACGTCCCACTAAAGCGATTGTTTTACCCCTCTTTATCTACAAAAGAATATAGAAGAAAATATTCAGCTATAAGCTATAGAAGGAAGATAATGCTGATCCACATTCTGTACCGTAACACTTGTAAGTCCTGCCATTTTTCTCCAATTACTTAAAGAGTAAGCCTATAGCGTAAAGCCTATAGCGACACAAAGGACAATAAAATTAAATACTGTAGAACAACTGATAGTTCCCAATACTTATTTGTTTCAACCGGTAACCGTAGTCGCAAATATAGACTTGCAACTACGAACGAGGCATTCTTCATTGAGCTTAGCTAGGCTATCCTATAAATTTCAATTCGATAGATCGAAATGAACTTGATCGCGGCCCGCTATGTCATATTGGATGTGAGAATAATCGCGACCAATGACGGGCAAGAAAGCGATCGAGCTCACTTTAAAAGTTCGAATTGACAAAGGTACAAAATAACTTGGCTGATCTGTTATTTCCATTTTTAAATTTAGTCAATACAAGTACGTAGAAATCATGTTACATAATAGTTTGCCCCATGCATACCTGTAAGTCCAACCCTCGTAGCACATGAACACCAGGTCTAGTCGGATATCTGAAATGCACCGCTTCTAAACTCGCCTCGCCTTTGGATTTCTATGAACGCCAAATATATAAATAAGACAACTGACTGCCTCGTTGGCTGAGTGGTCGCATAAGCCACTCGGCAAGGGGTCTCGGGTTCGATTCCCGGGTCGGGCAAAGTATTACTGGGGTTTTAATTAGAAAAAGTATCAGTAGTAGCATGGAGTCTGTAATTGTGTCCGGTATATGGCATTAGCCTCACCCCCTATTACATGGGACTCAATAGTGAAAAGTGGGTGTTACATTGTACACTGGCATTAAGTGCCGTAATGTGTATAGAAGTCATCATCAGCCTGTAACTCTTTCTGCTGCCAAAAGACCTCTTCTTCTCATCTTTGTAAAACTTATTGTTACGCAAATGAGTTTCATACCATAAACCGAGCACAATTCTATGCCCATATAATTAGGTACTTATGTAGAAGTTAAAAATACTAAATAGATTCAATGCACGACCAGTAGTTTCGAATCGGGGTCTAGTGACACACATATGATACTTTAGGTCCTCTCGACCAGCAAATCAATCCTAAAATAAAAAGATCTTACAAAAGGTGAGACAAGTGGTGTAGCTGGATCACTTATTTCCGGTTTGGATTCAAGTAGGACTGTGATCCGAGTGGCTGCACTCACACCCTTCTCGAACTCCGGTGTGAATGTAAACGCATTCTGCGCCTGACCTGACGCCATTTGCAACGATTGGGTGGTTCTGGAACATAACATCATTTTTAACCTTAGGTGTCAAACTCATTTCTCTTATTACATTTTAATGAAGTATGATTGGGTCTTTCATAAATGAAATAAATAAATTTATTACAAAGTCCACTTTTCACCAGAAGACCTGGAAGTGAATAGTCTCGGTCTGTTGGCCTGTTGCCAGCCTAAATTCTTGAGGTGGAATTAATCTGGGTGTAAATTTTTTAGTGACTACTTATCCTAATATAAAAAGCAACATGATGTCATACGATACATTTTCTAGGTTTTCCATTGAGTGGAATGCTGTGCTTGAGTGTAGTGTAAGTTAATTTGGCATTACATTAAAATACTTACATTTACACTCCTAATTTAGGTAGCTAGATATCTACATACGAACGTTTTAGCTTTACATAAAAAACCACCATACATGCAACTCACATCAAAATATTTTTATAAGCAACTCCTTCTGAAACTATGAGATGCCCTCCATAGGTAAGTGAAGCAGCATTGATGAAGTTAAATATAGAGCGCGACAGTCCATTGACGAGGCCGCGACAGTGAGCGGCTCTCTTCGCGTCGGCGAGTGCTGGCGCCAGTTGTTTCACGTACTCTCTGACGAACATACGCTCCCGACCGAGACACACAACCGTGCGCACATTCGACACCGCTTCTATTGCGATCTGATCAATATTACATCTGTTAATGTCTTTCATTCTTCTGTTAAAATTATATCAACCTAAGAATTCCAAATATATCACCTTAGTGCTACTTTCCAACGCCTTAGCGTTTCCGTAAGATTCTCTTCTGGTGGCTTTAATCTGTTGGACTACGACAAAGATAATGAGGGGCAGGAAGCAAAGCGCGACCAGTCCCAAGCGGTACTCAAACAGCATGGCAAGCACCAACGCCAGCCCGACCGAGCCAATACCTTGTAAACATGTACCGATGCGCTGACCTGTTGCCTGGAAACGGAGACGCGCCGAGTATAGGTATTTAGATGTTCGGTTACAACTACTGGTATTATAATAATGACGTAGTTGCGTAGATATATCAATGCTTACTTTAAGTCTAAAGGCCTACTTTTTTTCTTTGTTGTCTCACAAACTACTTAGATCTCCTACAAATTGTATGGACTAACACAAACAAAGAACCTCAAAGGAATATTTAATTTAGTCAATATCTTTTCACTGACTTTGATCTTTGGGTTCCTCATTTGCTCAGGCCCTTATGAAAAGGGAGAAATATACGACTTTTATTTGGTATTTTCAATTACTCACACCCTGTACATAAGCTGCCTCAGCAGAGAGTTTGGCACATAAAGCGCCGGTTGAGTTGCGTCGCTCGTCAAAAAATCCGATGTGCTGTTGAAGCAAGTGCTCGAACATCTGTGTCCGCAGCCTTTCAGTGAGGTGTGCGCCAGCGATGCCGAACGATATTGCCTACAGTGAAAATATCTCACTCAGGCTCGCTTTAGGTACAGTACCTAAATTAAAACGCGTTTTTTTTCGTATTATCAATGGTTAACGAATCCAGAGTGAAAAATAAATTCATAAATAACAAGATCCATTTAATAATTACACGGGCATATATACGTAACGATGATGAACTTAGGAATGTTATTACTTGTACCTACGTAATGTGTGATGTGTTGGACAAAAACTCACTTCAATCAAATTTGAGGTTCCCATAAGTATTCCTATGAGTATGCAAATTGTGGAAACTTTCTTCACTTTGTCCATTAATTTATTTGGATCTGATTCTGACATAGACTGAAAAAAAAATACAGTGATTTTCGTAGACTATTTGCTACTGACTCATGTTGTCATAAAAAACCCTATAAGTTACTAAATAAATAAATACCAGAAGAGTGATTATCATCATCATCATCATCATCTGAAACACGCATCTATATATAGCTGAACAAAACTGTTATACTTTAGGTGTGGAGGTTTCCCCATTCCCCTTATTTGGCAGACGACTTTGAGATCGGAATTAAATCACCGAAAGACGTGAAGCTGGTCTCCTCACTCTCCTCTTGGTTGTTGGTCACCGAAAGGTCTACCAAAGTACCCCCTAAGAGTATTTAATAGAAAATCGCTACGTACCCCAAATAAATCTCCAAACACCAGAATAAAGAGTGGCATCGAGAAACCAATGACTATAGAACAAACAGTACCCGTCAGCAACCACTTCCATTCCTGTGATTTCATAGCCAATACACGCCAGAACGAGATATGGGGCAGTTTGTCCGAGTCGTCTTCTTCTAGCGGCTTAAATATTATTTTGTAAATAATATTATGGTCAAAAAGATACTGAATTGTTTATCATTGTCAAACTGTGAAGATAGTTTTCAAGTTAATAAGGTCTATCGTTTTTGTGGTCATTGAATGGCGCAATGATACTTTACAGTTCTCCATTTAGCAGTGAATTCATACGCGATCGTATACGAAAATCGGAAAATCGATAAATGAATTTGGGTAGCTTGATTTAAACTAAATTCTAAAGTGCTAATATGAATTTCTAAAGTTAAAGCCAATTTTACGAAATTCACTTACTTCAACCATTTGTTCTTCTTTGCTGGCTTCTGATGCCCCAGATTCTTCTCTCAATACAGTTTGTTCTATGCAAAGAAAAGCACTAAAATATTTCTAGAATATATAAAAATCTTGTTCGATATAAGATATCTAATTAGATTTTGTTTCAGCACAACAACTCTAAAAATTTCCAATTATATGACAAAAAACCACAAAAAAATTCTTAACCAAAATAAATAACCTAAGTTATCTAATACTATCTATCTAAATACAACAAAAGACAAATATGAAACTTCTAGAAGCCTGACCTTCTCTAGCAGCAAGATTATCTGGTTCTTGTATCGACACCATCTCATAGTAATGCCCTTTGTTTGCCATGAGCTCCTCGTGGGTGCCACTCTCCACTACTTCTCCATCTTGGAATACGTATATAAGACCCACATGTCGGATTGTAGACAGCCTGTGAGCAACCACCAGCGTCGTCCGACCTTCCGCAGCCTGCCAGTTTCGAATACCCATTTTTACAAATGAATGTTGAACGAATATTTCAAATTTATGCGCTGCGATATCTGTTTCTCCTGCTATACAGTCAGACTTAAAATGGTTAGGCTAGAAAATTCTCTAATGGTTTTATTAACTACTTAGTAATTTTTGACTGCACGGTTGGTGCAATGGCTGGGCAACCGGCTGCCGTGCAACGTGTTGCGGGTTCGATTCCCGCACGGAACAACACTTTGTGTAAACCACAAATTGTTGTTTCGGGTCTGGGTGTCATTGTGTATGTGAACTTGTATGTTTGTAAACGCACCCACGACACAGGAGAAAATCCTAATGTGGGGCAACGTTTTTTACCCGACTGCCAAAGAAGGAGGGTAATGTTTTTCGAGTGTATGTAAGTATGTATGTATGTCTTTTCCTTTGTGACCACCTGTAGCCTAAACGGCTTGATGGATTTTGATGTATGAGGTATCGTTAGATTTGTCTTGATTACGGGAGTGTCATAGGATACATTTTATCCTAAAAGTCCCACGGGATAAAGACATAATAATATTTTTTCTAAATTTCCCTTTAAAAAAATATGTATGCGGTATCATTAGATTCATTTCAATCACGGGAGTAATTAATATAGGATACGTTTTTTCTCAAAATTCCCACGGGAACATGTTAATTCTGCGTCAACGCAAAGCAACTCATGCGTTAGCAAGCAAAAAGATAGGGCGTGGCCTGGCATGCGGCGCGCGGCGCGGTGCGGAGGGGGATATGCTCGAGTATACAGCCCGATTGCGGGCACACGCATGAGGGCACACGTCGTTGACGGTCGTCTCTAAATAGCGATTTTATTCGATATATCCCTATTTGTATATATCGAAATAAAAACAGCTAAAAAGTTATAAATAAAAAAATTATTATTAAAAAAACAAAATACCCGACTGCACACTAAAAAAAGAGTAAAACAAGCCCCACAATAATATTGATCAATCAAATGCTAAAAACTAATTATGTAATACCGTTTAAACAATACCTATATTAAAATACACTACAATATGTGTTCGTAATCGATAGTTAAATAAACAGAAACTTATTTTGAATACAAATTTACTGAATATAATTTATAAATGTTGATGGAA